AACCCTAACCCTAACCCCTAACCCTAACCCTAACCCTAACCCTAACCCTAACCCTAAACCCTAACCCTAACCCTAACCCTAACCCTAACCCTAACCAGGGAATGTAAATACAGGGTAGTTTAGAGTTGAAAAAACACATCATGTGACCCAAAGATAATGTCTAACGTAAGAGAATGCTTAGTTATTTCTATGCATAACCACAACAAAAACATGGTATTTTCTTTTCTTTTTTGATTACTTTTAATAATTGTTTGGCAAAAACTGCGTCGAGGAGACTAACTCACAAAGTGAGTTAAGTTGAGAGTTACTACACTCTGTTCATCACTACCAAAACCCACAATCTGCGACTTACTCTTTTGTGATTTATTCAAAAGAAATGTTGACCAAAATGTGACCACCCTAACCCTAACCCTAACCCTAACCCTAAACCCTAGACCACCAGGGAATGTAAATACAGGGTAGTTTAGAGTTGAAAAAACACATCATGTGACCCAAAGATAATGTCTAACGTAAGAGAATGCTTAGTTATTTCTATGCATAACCACAACAAAAACATGGTATTTTCTTTTCTTTTTTGATTACTTTTAATAATTGTCAACAGTTGTAGCAGGACATTTTAAATATAAATACCTTTAGATTTTATTTTATGTTTTTATGTTTCATTTGTCATCTCTTAAAGGCTTATAATTTCTGATCTGATTGAAGAATCAAATTGGTTAAAATGCCTGGTAATCCACAGCTCAAGATTGAGCTAATAAGGTGTGAGTGCTCCGGCTGACCAGGCTGCGTGCAGCAGAGGGGAGGAGGGTGGATAAGACCACCAAGGTGGCAAAAAGTAAAATATGGAGTGGATTGTGGCGACGTTCTTGTACATATACACTAAAGTGTGACGGTACAGGCAACGGGTATAGTTTACAAAACAACTGTCAACTTAAGGAGAGAGCTCTGTGATCTGTAATCCTCCAACTCTATTATGGAATAAGACACTAAATGTACCAATACATTAGACCACGGATGTGAAACATATGGCCCGTGGGCCAAACTCGGTCCATCAGGGGTTGCGATCCGACCCACAATAAATTTCAAAATTTGTATTTCTGGTAATTCAGGAGGTTTTGTGGATATAATGGTATTCGTTTGTTTTGAAGGCACTTTTACGAGATTATTTTTTGGAATAAGATTTAGTTTTTTTAGGATTGCTGCATATGGAGGTGTTGATGAATCAGTTTGGATTGTTGAGTTTATTTGTGTATTTGGTGTCTAATTATGTTAAGAGTAAAAGGCTTGTGTCTGTAATAGACATTTGTTGTTGTGTGAACTCGATCTGCTGAAAGAACTGATTTGGCTGAACAACTCTCACATGTGACTGAGGTTCCCAGCACAAAGCCACACACACACGCACGCACACACACTCGCAGACCTCTCCCCCCTCCATCTATTAACAGTGATTATAATGTAGGTGCTCTGTATCTCCATAACTTCACACAGTTCAGACTCTGCTCTTATCCATTTAATTCATCCATCTTCTACAGTTTAATATTTCTTAGGGTTTGGGGGTTGTAGGGTAGGGGGGCGGTGCAGGGGCGTGGAGCCAATCATGTCTTGGAAAGAAGTCGGGCAAACAAGTCGATCTGCTGACAGTAAAACCGCTCAGATTTACAGGCATTTCACACACACACAAAAAGAAAAAGCACAGGCTGACCCACACAGACTCTCTCTCTCTCTCTTTCTTTCCCTCTCTCTCCCATTCATCTGTCTGGCACAGTTTTTCCATGTAACCAGATTTTCCATAATGTTCTGTGGTTCCTCTGGTTTAACTTGCTGCATTAGGGGCATTTTAATGTTCCTCGGGCCGGTGTCAACAACTCGGAGGGTGTCAGTTTTTTCCTATCCTAAAAACAAAGTCAGGGCTATTTTTGTTTGACACATTAGCGCCAGCACCTGTAGCAAAAATAAAGAATGGGTTGGAACTATTTGTTTTAGCCTGCAAATGTTTTGTGTGGTGTAAACAGTGACCATGTGAAGGGATGTGTGTGGGTGTGTGGATGGAGGACGGGCTCTGGTGAAGAGAAGATCACGAGTGTGACGTCATGGCAGAAATGAGGTCATTTGACACAGTCTTGTGTCGTAGGGCCTTCCCTCTGTTATTGGTCCCATTAAATAAATAAATAATTAAATACTTATAAACCTTTAAGATAAAATAGGGTGATAATTTTTAATATATATACATGTATATTTATAGTGTATGTATATAGATATACTGTATATATATACGTATATAAATGTATATAGATTTATATAAAATATATAATAATAATATAATAATAGTATATAGTAGTCTCTGTATACTGTAGAAATCTAATCATATACCATTCAGCTACTTGAATTTAATTAGTACCTTAACATACAATGTTTATATAAGGTATGTTCAGTTTATATGAGTAAATATATATTTAATATTTTCAGTCTAGGGAGTTCCTTTTTGTGAATAATAATAATAATAATAATAATAATATTTTCTAGTGTATTGCAGCTGTCAGTAAAAATGCGTTTTACATTTTTATTTTAGTATCTAACTTCCGATTTAAGAAACTGTTGCTGTGCGTGTATTGTCTCTTGGGGATTCCAGAGGACTTTGAGCTAAGTGAAAGTGTTTGACCACGGTCCATATTTTTAGCTCTGTTTTTTCTTTTTAAGTCTGCAGCTGCAGACCATAAGAACAGAGGTTCATTGATGTAAATGCAATTCACTACCACTCTTTGTGCTCCCCTCTTCTCTCCTTATGTTCCTAGCTGTACTGTCATACAACAGAGCATGTACCAAGGTAGAGTTAATGCTGCTCTTTATTCTCAGTGACAGAGAACCGTCTGTTTACTGGCCTCATGCTTAACCCTGAAACCCCCTGAACAGGGGCTTGGTGTCATTTACAAACCACAGCCTAAATGAAATGTCTATGGACAGCTTGTTCTCGTTTTCCGACACATAAATGATATAATTGGAATGAAATGAAAGAATTTGAGGAAAGTGAATAATTAAACAAACGTTAGACAAAAAGCTTTATTATGCTGTTAAATGCATTATTCTATTTTAGATACAAATCCCTGTCTAACAGAGGTCAAAAGTACAAGTGAAAAACTTTTATGTTTTGATGTGACTGTAGCCAGGAGTGAGGTCCAGTCTCTCAGGTGTAAGGAATTTGCCAAGGCAGACGGCAAGTCTGAGTCTGCTGGAGACTTTTTTTTCCCCCTAACGTTGCAATAAGTGTGATTTATTTTGGTTTTCAATAATATTTGTGAAGCTTATTCTGCAATGTATTTTAAATATAAAGTCAATATACACCAGTGTTCACCAACTATATTTGTCTTAGAGCCTCACTTTCCTAGAAAAGAAACCTAGGGGACCGGATGCTCAAATAAAATGAAATAAAAATCACATTTCTATGCATTGTTAACTGTATTTGAAACATTCGGTATAACTAACGGAAGATTTACAATGTCAACACACACATATATAAGGGTTGTTGTGTGGCTTTCATGTAGTCTTCTTCTTCAAGGATGCAATGCATACATACAGTGTGATGTTGTAGGAATAGCTCTACTTTAAGTGTCTTTCTTCGTACCGTATGTCTAACTGAAGATTATGTCTCCCCCACAGATGAGATCATGCAGCAGGAGATCAGGCCCCTGCTTGCAGTGGACATCATCGAGCAGCTCCATCGTCAGTTCGCCTTGCTCTCAGGTCAGTGACACGACATTTTTCACTTTCCCACTGTGCTGTCTGACTATCCTAATGTGAGAACTCCAAAAATAGTTCTCTTGAAAATGACTTTTTGTATCCTCTGTTGAGCTAAATGTCACCATGTTTTGTTTGTAGACAATATCATTCTCATGAGAAACCAGCAGCAGTTATTCACTTCAAATATATCTTCTTTATTTAGCTGTCCCTTTCAATGGTGGCCACAGCGTATTATCTGACAGCTCCATTTTTTTGACATCCTTTTCTAATATCTGTAAACATGAATAAAGGTTTGACTACTGTGTGTATGATATCATGTACCAGGAGGAAGAGGGAAAGATGGTGCTCCTATCATCACCTTTCCAGAGTACTCAGGCTTCAGTGATGTGCCTGAAGAAGACTTTCACAACGTCATCACTTACCTGACCAGCATTCCCAGGTACACAAATACACTGCGTAGCATATTCTTTGTCTTAAATTTGTCAGGTAGCGTTAAACGTATTGAGGTCTTTGTGTTTATGTTAACGACTGTAAAAAGTATGAGCACGGTGTAACTGTTTTCTGTTCCCCTTTGACCGACGTTCTGAACAGTAGAAATACTAACACGGACTACAGTACCCATAATGCACTGCGGACAAATATCCATTTATTTCAACATGGTAGCGGACAGTGAGATAAGCACCGGCGCAGCTTCATCATTTAACACGTAGCAGCATCTTACTACACACATACCCACTGTCGCGCCACTACAATTGCTGGTCCGGCAGCTTAAAGTTCCCCAGTGGAAGCGCGAACCACGAGAGAGTTCTGCTTTTATTTTCCATCTTGGGAAAGTTAGATGATGAGGATGAGTTTGCGGTGCCTCAAGTTGACTAATCTAATTTATACTTTTTATGATACTACTGCAAGATGAGTAGATGGGAAAACACATTTATAAGTGATTTTCATTTTAAAACTGTCTTCTCTTCTTTCTCAGTCTTGATGCTGCAAGTATTGGCTTCGTCATCATCATTGACAGACGGAAAGACAAATGGAGCACAGTGAAGGCTTCCCTATCCAGAATTTCTGTATGTCTTTTCATGTTTAGCATGTACAGCATTAGCATTTCATAACTTAACAATGCATTAGTAAAAATATGTGTCTGTAATTGCTGTGTTGGTGACAAACAATAACTCACAATACATTAAGTTCTTATTTATTATATGCTGTTTTGAACACGTGCTATACATTATACTAACATCATATCTGGTTTTTTAACAGTTTAAGCTCCAAAATCAGGAAAGTGTCTTTCAGATATATTCTAAAAATCATGACCTCTAAACTTGAGCCATTGTCAATTACAGATAAAGAGGTTTTCTTTACCTGTGGACTAGACTATAAGTGGTGGTGTACGGCTACTTACCTGCTTTTTGGTTTTGTCGTCTTGTTTAAGGGGGCGTTTCCAGGAAATCTGCAGCTGGTTCTGGTGCTCAGGCCGTCTAGGTTTTTCCAAAGGACGATTGCTGATATTGGCATCAGGCTGCACAAAGATGACTTTAAAATGAAGGTAAAATACGAAAGCTTTCTATTGAGTAAAAAAAGTTTGACCTCAGTAAATGAACCGACCATTTGCACATCTGTTTTTAAATGCTATAGTAGAACTGCGTACCATAATAGTTTTATGTTAAAGCCAGGTGAATTATGTTGTGTAAAATTTGCAGATTGTGATGCTGAACTCTTTGTCAGACCTTCATGGCTATGTGGACAGAGGTCAACTGACCCTGGAGTTGGGAGGAAGTTTGGAGTATTGTCACAGTCAGTGGATCCACCACCGAACCGTGAGAACGCATGGACAACTTCATCGCAACGCTTGTGATCCAGTGACATCACAGATCACTCAAAGAATCCTATTGATCCGATTTTCTTTTTTCCCCGTAGGCCATAGAGAGCTTCGCAGTCACAGTGAAGACCACGGCAGAGATGTTACAGAAGTTTGGAACTGACCTGGCAGAGACAGAGTTACCTAACGATGTCCAGTGCACCAAAGACCTTCTTACTGCACACAACAACAAACACAACAACCTCAAGGTTCATACAACAACACTCAGTGGTGGACGCAGACTCTGTTGCCGATGGATGAAGCATATCTGCAAACATAGACACATAGAATGCTTGATGCCAGTGTGTGTGTGTGTTACAGGATGAACTAAAGCTGGCACTTAAACAGGGCAACACCTTGTTGACTTGTATCAGACATCAGGCAGCGAAGTCTGAGAACCAACCACTGAACCCAGATGAGAAAGAGAATCAGACTACAGTAGAGAGGTAACAACATCCTTATTTCTATGCTCTGGACTAGGGGTGGCTCAATACAACGTTTTCATATCCGATACCTTTACTGCAACTGCCGATAATTTCTGCCGATACCGATGTCAATCTGTTACCTTCTCATCTCCTCCAGCATGTCTCAGACTTCTGTTGCTGATGCGATAGTGTCCCGGTTTACAGCATGTCATGCAAATTTAAGTTGAGCATTGGAAGAGCTATAGTTGTTTTTTTTATGTTAAATACTGCCATTTTAATTTATCAGGTTAAGAATCTCTGCTGCATGGACATCCACAAACAACTTCTCCCATGATGCACATCCATTTTGTGACCTCATCCTGTCGAATAGAAATATAATTAATACTATAATGTCCAAGAAGAGACAAATTGGCCCAGAATGAAAGCAAATATATCATTTCAGTTTTAAGGGGGAAAAGCATGACATGAAACATTGTCGAGGAAAGAGAAGTACAATACATATCAGCGCTTTGACAACGTTCAAATTCAATATTATAAATAAGTTACTGTTCAGCCCCCTTGAGTGATTGAGTTTGAGACCGAGGCTGGAAATGGTGCCCAGACAGATGGTGAGCAGTTAGAACAGCAGGTGTGACAGCTGGCTGTGTTGGATGTCAGGAGGGTTAGCTAACTGTGGACAGATAGAAGTGTCGGTACTGTTTGTACAGTTCAGAGTGCCTGTACGTTAGTGCGTCTTCTTCATTACTGATCATACTCATCTAAACTGAAATGAGTGTGTCAACAAGGATGCATCAGGGATTTGTCATTGTAATTGCAAAAGCTGCTGCAGAGCTCAGACATCTATTACACATCTTTTTTTAGTGGCTCCATAGTGTAGCGGTTATACGTATCTGCACACAGGTTCGAGCGCCAGAGTTTGTTTGTGCGGTTTCATAGTGTCGCTTTTACAGTAGTACACATGCCTTGCAAGCAAAGAGCAGAGAGTCCTGGTTGCGATTCCCGGAGGAACAACATATCCCTATTAGCGCCTCCTGTGTGAAAGCCCATGACTTGCAACCATGCACTTAATGGTGCCTCCTCTGGCAACCTGAGTTGGTTGCGATTGTTGGACAAATAAGGGGCTCAGTAATTATTATTATTATTATTATTATTATTTTATGTTTAGGGATTTGGATTGGATTTGATGCTCAGATATGGATATTTTATTCAACCAATATAAAACTGTGGCTTTTATTCTTAAAATCCAAGTGTAGCCTCGTGTATATCAAAACCTTTCAGGTAAAATTGACGTTAATCGCCTAAATGCAAAGATGCCTAAAGAAAACAAGAGACGCCATGATTGTTAACTGTTACAAAACACAACTATACTGTTTGTATTTGTGTGTGCGTGTGTGTGTGTTTTAGGCTCTTGGCTCAACTGGATGAAACAGACAATGCCTTTGAACAGTTCTGGTGCAAACATCATCTGAGGCTGGAGCAGTGTCTGCAGCTACGTCACTTTGAACAGGACTTTAGAGAGGTAAGTACTGTATACACACACATATGTAAGTATATGTGTGTATGTATTTTTGAACAACTTAATAGCAATAGTGCTATAGAGAGGTCCAAAGGAGGCCTGTGTTTATCTTTGTCTCCGTGTCCTCATCTCTGTCCCCTCTGTCTCTCTGCCCACTCCAGGTCAAAGTGTCATTGGACAGTCTGTCAGACAACCTTACCAGCTTGCCAGTCTTCGGGGATTCTTTGGCCCGTGTCGAGCATCTTCTGAAAGAACTAACAACACTGGCTGACAAAGCTCAGGTAGATCAGATTTAGATTGATTTCCTTCATGAATTATTAATAAATGAAATAAGAAAAGTTGTTTTCACACTCTTTGTGTATCTCTATTGGATTATAACCATTATTACACAGCAAAGACAGAAAAGACATAATAACCATGACGGCAAACGTCCAATGGTCCAATGGTTTGAAACCAAATGTTGAGAGGCACACAGTGAGGTTCTCTAATAAACCTCCCTCAGCTGCTCTGCATGATTTGTGTGCATCTATAAGATGTGAGCTACTTGAATTTTTTTTTTGTTCAATAAAAGTGTAATTTTCCTGTCATTTTCAGCCAACCGTAGAGAAGGCTCAGCTCCATGCTCTACATGGAGACCAACTGATTCAGAGCAACCACTACGCCGTCGACTCCATTCGACCCAAATGCGTGGAGCTGCGGCGAGTCTGTGATGACTTTACTAATGAAGTGAAGAGAAAGAAGGATGTCCTATCCAAGTCTCAAGAAATACACAATGGCATTGAGAAGGTTGGAAAAACTTTATTAAGTCTGCTGCATATTTATTATCTTTCATTCTTTTATAATGCATTTTTGGGTCTCTCAGGATACTATAAAAATCATCATTGCTGTTGTTCTGTCAGGTTAATTTTTGTTTTTCTTCAGACCAGTTGCGCTAACCCTTTCTACCCTGTAATGCATCAGGGCTAAATTAGGAGGAGCATTAAATATAAAAACTTTGTTAAATCACTAGTGCTGCCATGGAGACGACAAGTGGTGAAAGGGAACTTAATTGATATTTAAGTATTTTTGAAAAATTTCTTCTTATTAAACTGAAAAGACAAAAAGCACATTAGATTTATACTGTACCATCAGGGCATTTCTTGTCTTCTGTGTGTCTTTGCTAATCAGCCAATGCTATTTGCTAATTCTGACTTTGACTCTGACCATGATTGATTTGTCCAATGGGATTCTGCATATAGTGTCAGAGACATTACCAGGACAATAGTCATGTTAAAATTAAAAACTAAAGAATTATAATTCACAGTTCTACCAATAGGTGTCAGTAGTCAATACAAAAATACGCAGCATAAAATGAGCAAGCTAACTTACTGGTACAGTATATGCCATTTGACACCTCCAGCATTTGTTGAATAATTCAGTTAGACTAAACAACAACTACGAGCTAATCTTAATGCTAAATATTTATCATTATTATTATTATTATTTATTATTTATCTGAACCTAGGCACTGCAGAAATTAAATGGATGGATGGATAGATGGATTGATTGATTGTACAGTATGGGGTACAAAAACTCTTTCATCTGTTCTGTATGTGCAGGTAAACCAGTGGTGTGAGTCAGGAATCTACCTACTGGCCTCTCAGGCCGTGGATAAATGTCAGTCACAGGACGGGGCAGAGTCGGCGCTCACTGACCTTGAACAGTTTATGGATTCAGCACCAAAGAACCAGCTCACTGAATTAAGGAACCTCCACAATCAGTACGAGGTGGTTCTCTCTGAGGATTTGAAGGTACTGTCTCCAAGTACGATGGACAAGAGGATGGCTGAACAATGTGTCCTCAGGGTTGTCATGCATAGCCGTCCTCTCTGTGCAGGCAGGTGTCATGAAGGCCCTGAGTCGTCTTGAAGATGTGCAGGAGATGTTTGAGAAGCGACTGGTGAGCCTGAAGAGACTTTCAGCGAAACAGACCAGACCTGTTCAGCCTGTGGCACCGCGTCCCGAGTCTTCTCCTAAATGTCCACCAGTGAGGAACACCACCAGGACAACAGGAAGCCACCAGCGTAAGTGAACAATATTCTAATAAGGGAACACATTTCAAAAATATATTAAAGAAGCATATTTTTGGAGAACAAATGTCAAATCTCTGAAATCTGTTGATTGTTTTCTTACTTCATTTTCAGCGGCAACACGCAGATTGTCTGATAACTCCACCTCTGGGAAGCAGACTGTTGACAATGATCCTAACAAGAAGAAAATTATACGCAAGGCCAAGGGTGAAATCAAGGTATGTCCTTTGTTTCCATCGACTCCTTGGTTTTATTGAACGACTGGCTTTGAGACACTTGAGTCACTTTACTCTTAAGAAATTAGATGACACCTTTTATAGTTTGTTGTACAATTCTGAATATCTTTTGCTGGTGAAACCGGTTTGAATAGGAAAGCTATGAAATGACTTTACTAAATTCAAGCCATTTTAACAAAATTGGGTCAGAAGGCCAGTTAAGTTTTTTCATCTACATGGTAACCTTTAACACAGACAATCAACGGATAAGATGGACAACCATAACGTGGTCCATTTTATTGTAAACACTGATTTCTTTTTGCATTGGCATGCATCAACAGCATTTCCAATTGATGCCACTAGATGGCGACATTATTTTCTGTGCTTGAGAATGCCCTGTTCTCTCCACTTCGGAGGTTCCAGCAACGGGAGTTATCCTGTTGTAATGTTTATACATTATAATATTTTATCTGTTATTTTTCATTAAAATATGATTAAAGAAATGGCCTTTTCAATCAACCAAGGTTGCAAAGTTAGGATGTGTAAAGGGAAAACCTTTGGTGTTTGAAAAAAAAAAAAAATTATTTTCAGTGAGGGTAAGTCAATAGCAAATATGCTTGATTGCAAAATGCAAAATATTTTTGGAGAATTACTCTAATTTGCATAATACATACTGAGTTGCTGGCTTGGCGTTTCAAAATTTTGATGACCTTGTAGGATCGACACGCCGCAACGAAGTTGGCCAATCAGTAGGAAAATCCTCTTATAGCCATTAATATTCATGTGTTTCTCATAGATAGAGGTCATGCATGAAGAAAGTCAAGGAGGCTCCACCCACGTTGTCCTGACCAATGAGACAGAGGAAAGCTTGTCCAACAGACGAAGGTAAACACACTCTCAATGTAACAAAAAAGGTGTTAAATACACAAAGAAATCTACTCTGCTTCAGGTTTTTATGCAAATTCCACACACACAAACAGACACACACAAGGTTGTTTTTCTGTGTTGCCCTTTCGGTAATGCAGGTTTGAAGACACTGCACAAGCACTTACAGAATTTGACTGTGTGAGCTTAGGTCCAACTGCAGTTGTCAGTGTTGTTTGCCCTCTATGTGTTCGCTTTGCATGCCGCGCCTTAAGTAGAGAGCTGTGGTGGTTCTGCAGGTGTTCTCTACAGCATTGTTTCCCAAAGACTGGGTCGCGACCCTCAGGTGGGTCATCTCGCATCACGTTTCCTAGGAGTTTACAAATAACGTCTATTTACTTTGTCGTGAAGGTTTGACTTTTAAAATATGGGTCCCCAGGAAAAAGGTTTGGGAAACACTGCTCTACAGTATATACCAGGGGTGTCACTCAGTATCATAACACTAAGTCCATGTTTTTCTCTTCTGTTTCATGCAAATAATTGCGAGTTTAATAATAGCAAGATGTATATTGGAAAATATATACATATTTATTGAAATATAAATTGACGTTTGTACATATTTTTTACAGTTCATGCCTTGTCAGTAACCCGTCGTGTCTATTCGGTACCTAAAATGCTTACGAACCTACGATAGAGGAAGACAGTGCAGTGCTCGCAAGAATGATTTTACATTACGGTACTGACCATGTTGACCAGCTTGGGTAGAGAAAAAGGAAATAAATACAATTTGTAATCTCTCAAAATTTCATTTTTAATATATAATATGGAGCACTTTTTCTATTAGAAGTACAAGATTATACTACCTCATTTATCACAATTTAACTCCTCATTAGTTCAAGATTTTTTTTAATAAAATCACATTAATATCATAGTTTACAAACAGAAAAACAGAAGTAAACATGACACCAATAAATAAATTTAAAAAAAAAACACACACATCACCAAATGAGCAGAATCATCCTTATTGCTGTGCAGTACACGATTTCAAAGAATCCCTGGTACATGCTGTAGACGGCCGGGTCTGCCACTGTTTCCCATAGTGCATGCATATCTTTAGTGTGACCATGAGATGTAATCATGTCATCATAAATGCACGGGTGAGCCTTGCCCTCTCCTAAAAAGTATGCGTTTTTCTGGGGAGAAACCCCCATGATGTGGGCACAAATCCCCATGAAGACATCATCAATGTAGATGGAAGGCTTCAGCATCAAAGTGGCCTGGTAGATCTTCTTAGATACATCATTTGAAACCACGAACCCCGCTCCAGCCGTATAGTCTGGGTAGGAGATCCACGGATAAACGTCACGCGAAACATAATATTTGCTTTTCATGCGACGATTTGGAGGCGACCCACTGTGTACGTGTCCTACCCAAAAATCTGTAACGCCTGTGTCGCTGCGCACGACCTGCTGTAGGTACCTAATCAGATTGGGCGTGTGGACAAAGATGTCATCGTCCGCCGACATGACAAACAGTGCCTTGGGACAGTAGTGGTAGAACCACTGGAACTGCAGCATTAGTTTGGCTGTGAGGTTGTGGAAAGTATCGTCAAAGTTCTGCTGGATCAGGTCTCCGTGTGCTTTGTCTTCGAGCAGCAGTGCGGTCTGTACCTGAGATCTCTGTCGGGAGTCTGGGTCCACCCCGAGAACAAACACCACCCTTACATTGACTTTCAATTCTGACCATAGGTAGGTCTCATTCCCCCACGTTTCCCTGATGGCCTGACGAGGTTCTAAATTTTGGGGTGAGGATTTCACAAACAAAAGCAGGAAAACATTATCACCGTCACCACCGCTTCCACATTTATCTGGGTGGTTAATGAGGAGCTGGTATTTTTCTCCATCAACACCATCATTTTGGTGGTTAGAATTGGGTGCGACGTGGAAAGACGACCTAAGAAAATCGTACTTGTTGACTAAGGAACGATAGGTGTACGATTTCACGTGGCTCAGCACGTGGTGATCCAGATCCTCCCAGCAGACCATCACCGTGTACAACACAACGGCTATGCTGAGCAGCCGCGTGCACTTCCACTTGTGGACACGACGAATATACAACATGTTGGGACCTCTTATTGTTTTGATTTTCTTTTGCTTTATAAGCTTGATTTTTAAAGGCACATTAATGATAGCCACCTCAATTTGTTATTAACTTGCAGACTAGCATTTTAATGCTATTCACATTAAGTACAGTGAGGTTTACAAAATAACTTTCAAGTAATTTGATACATTGACAGATATAAGTGGAGTCAACAACTGGCAGTTAGCTTTGATTACTTGATGTGTGATTGATTACTTACTTCAAAAACAAAAGTAATCTCTGTGATGAACACAACGAGGAAGAGGAAGCCCTATACAAAACCGTAGGACAGACAGTATCACCCCATCTACAGGTGGCTAATGTAAATGTTATTTGACATAGAGTTTGTAGATTCTTCGTTTCCTTCTCCTTTTATCTCAGTCACTTGTGCCTGATCCTTTCTTTTACTTCCTGGTTTCCCGAGGTCAGGATTTTAGTAACGTGTCAAGATCAGGCATCCGGTGCCAACTTCTGTTAGAGTTTTGAAGATGCCATTTTCTTTCTTCTTCTTCTTTAAATATGTAGTTCGTGGAAATCCAGTAAGTTATACAAGGAGCCTATGTTATCTGAGAAAGAAAAATAGAAGAAAAAAAAAAAACATAATTAGAGAAAATTGCTTTTTATGTATTTAAGACAATTCAAAATCATGTTTCTTGTTTCAATCTTCAGCTGCTGTACTGGTCTAGTTCCTGAGAAGCAGTCATAGAGCGGCTTCTGTTGCACTCAAGGATCATATACTGTATGTGCCTCTCAGCACGTGTCTGTGTTCGAGTGATAACATGAGTGTAGTTGTCAATGTGCAGAGCAGTTTAACTGACACACGAGTTGTGGTACAAGAAAACCATCTAGAGTACTTCAGAAGGTAGTTTCAAGACCTGAGGAATTCACAGAAGGGTCTTACTTTATCATGCTCAAGGGATACTACATCTTCTTTGATGAATTTTGAACTTTCAAAATTCATCAAGTGGGCCAGATTGAACACCGTAATGGGCCTGCAGGCCCTATGTTTGTCCCCTGCATTACAGGGTGATGGTGATTCCTGAAGCTAAACCTGCCACGATTCACCATCAACACGGCAGGAAGCAGGCAGGACCCAAACGCAGTACTGGTAGTTTATTTTAAAATGCAAAGCCAAAACAACCAAAAACTCACCTCTGGAACAGACTTGAACAGGAACAGACTTGCCCAGATACACACAACGGCCAAAAACAACAATCCCACAAGGACAGAGTGAGGGGAGAGAGGTATATATACAAAGGGCACCAGGTGACACGAGTAGGACTAATCACAGAGACACAGGTGAGCGTGATGACACTGATTACCCCACACAGCCGACAGCAGGAACAGGAAACAGACAGACCTGACAAAAACACTGGTTTACAAAATAAATTCATCCCCAATTTTAACTTAAATTTGAAGCCTTGCCCAGCACTCGTGTCCTAGTTTATCAAGCATTCAAATATGATTATGTTTTTAATTCTAGTGGTCGCTTCTTAATGCTGGGCAATCCGATGATTCTCAGCTGGTGTATGTTTCTACTCTACTCCCTCACAGAGCTCTCGCTTTGAATCGCACATGGTGAACTAACAGAGGCAACCAATAGTTGACGAGTTTCTTCTTTACCTCTGTTTTCATGACATCGACCTGTGATGTAAATGAACAGTTTTTACTGTAAACAAATAGTCTTAGTTTTTGTTTGTGCAGAGCATCACGTACTGGTCGTTTATTTAGCGCGCACCGATTTCTTCCGGACTTTGTTGTCTTTGCTGTTCAGTCTTGGTTTTGACAAACAAAGTGGCACGTTCCTTTATGTTTACAAAATAAACAAAACAATAGCTTACAGTAAAAAAAGCATATAGCTCTGCTGCGGCTAAAGATGTTGTTTTTCATATATTGAAATTATGAGGACAATGTCACCTTTTTGACCAGTGTCAAATGTCTGCCCGTTGTCTTCAGGTTGCTTAAACATATAGTAGCATTACAGCTGCAGTGGACAAACCGCCAGCTTAGTATGTAAAGTACAATTAAGACTTGCAAAAAAAAAAAAATTATAAAAAAATTTGCATAGTGTAGCTAAATTGGGCTCCATTCTACTGAACTGTGAGGAGTTCTGTTATAAATTCATGATGCAAACACAGAGGGGAAGACCGCCTTTTATTTATGCATGTCTGTCTCTTTCAGTGTCAGCTCATGTTTTAGGTGCAACAGGGTTTAACTGGACTCTCGTTTTGCTTTTGTGGATCGTTTTCATGAGCTCTTCCACTGAGTTTATAAGCTATGGTTAAAACTGTCTGTTTCCTGTGTTCGGTTTTAACACCTAGTGTGTTTGATATGCATAAGACTTTCCTCTGACAAACCTAGTTACATGCTGAAAAGTTATTCTAATAATGTGCAGGTAAATTGACTCTGTGGCTTGTACATTTTTTTTAAAGAAACATTAAAACAGGGTTACTCTTTACACACATACACACCCCACACAATGTGACTTACCAGTAGTCCAGGCTGAATGAGAGATGAATTAGAAATTTTGTTTTTGTTTCCGTTTTTCTTCAATCTTCAGCTGCTCTACTGGTCTAGTTCCTGAGAAGCAGTCATAAAGCTTCTTCTGTTGCCCTCAAGGATAATATCAGTTCCTCTGAGCATGAGTCTGTGTGCGAGTGATAATGTGAGTGAATGGTTGGGCTGAGTTGTAGGAAGGGGAGGACCAAATGGGCAGTAGGAGCAGATCGTTCTCTCTTCTGTCATGTGTCCTTCCTCTGTTTTCTTCCACAACTTTTCTTTGCTCAAAAGTAAAGTTGAGGGAATAGTGTTTTTAAATATATAGTAAGAAACCTAAAAATGACAAACTATTACAGCAGTCGTTACTGAGATTAGGTGCTCGCAATTACACTTCTGACTGAGTTACTTTCAAATAGTACTGTTCTGTTTACATCCACTGCAGATGAAGCGCTTAGCTTATTTGAAACACCGCGCTTTTTCAGAACGAAGGCAGCATGTCGTCACTCTTCTCAAAAAACCTGAATATTTTCATTCTTTTGAGTGTTTTACAAGCATTGCGGTATTTTCTTTTGCAACTCGCCGGGAGACATAACCAAGCATAAGGTGTTACGTAAATATTTATATATCAGTTAAGTTGCATGGTGTTACTGTGTAACCTATACGTTTTCTGTGAGTGGAAATATTGTGATTTTTTTTTAAAAAATGACTGAAAAAAATATACAAATAAGGTTAGAAATTGTGGTTTTGTACTTGTGTACTGTGAACAACAATATACTGTACATGATTTTGTACTTCCTCAGAATTAAGCCATGTTATTTTACACATACTGTGAACAACAATATACTGTACATGTTGCAGACATTCAACCCATATGTACTATTTAGGAGTTCACATCTGTTCAGATTTGGTGAATGCCATGTTTTTTTTTTTTTAATAATCAAGGTTAATAAACTTAGTACAAAGTTAAAAAAAAAGAAGAATTTTCCTGCCAGATATTTTTGACATAACTATATACTGAGAACTCAAAGTAATCAGAGTTTTTTGTGTACAACGTGATTACCTGAGTCCCACCCGATTGCCGTTTAGCTGGGTATATTTGAAAGGGTGCATTTCTTTAAAGGTACTACCTTTTTTCCCCCTCATACTATAACAGATCACACACTTACATTAGTCAGTGGAAAGGTGAAGGACGTTACAAGGGTTAATGACCTTAAATTGTCTGTGCGCAGACTCATCATGACGGAGCTGATCGAGACAGAGAGACTGTATGTGGAGGAGCTTCAGAGCATCATTGAGGTACACAACTAGAAACTTCCAGTGTTCTTTTTTTGTGTTAATTTCACTTCATGAAAAGCTGTGAAGAACAGTGAAGAAACAGTCTTGTGTGTCACGTGTTTTTCTCTTATCGTTGACCTTTATCCTCCAGGGTTATATTGCAGAGTTTGATAACTCCGAGCTCAGCCATCTTACGCCGCCCTCGCTGGACAATAAAAGAGAGGTTCTGTTTGGTAACCTGCCAGAGATTTATGATTTCCACAACAGGTGTGTGCAATATAAGTTGGACTTTGCCCTGTTGAATACACAAAACATGGCTAAGCTTTCAACGCTTATCTGCTTCTATTGTACCCTTGGCAGTTTTTATGATGATTAAACCGTTTGTAGCTCTTTTATTAGCTCTCCGCCTTCACCCCAGAAAAATGACTACAGACTAAATATGGTCACTGGTAAAGTTTGAACTATTCACAGAAGAAAACTAGCACTCACACAGTTACACACTGTATGGTAAACGATTAGAAAAACCCCCATTGATTATCCCAAAATAAATATAATTTATCTTCTATGTTCAATTTTCTCACATTTTACTTACTCAAACTAGAAATGTGAAACTTGGCCCTGTTTAGTTGAACACACTGTTATACTTGCAGGAATGGAAGAAAGATACAGAGGAAGATTATTTAATTGTTCTGCCTGTCAGTGTCGCATAGACAAAATATACAAAAACAGTTCTTTCAGATCAATGAGATGAAATAGGACACATTTCCATGGTACACCATATGAACACTTACAGCGCACTAATGTTCTGCCACACAGAGCTTGTGAATGACAGATTTAAAACATCTGGCGTGCAACTGCCGATAGCAAGCAATTTGTTATACGAATATAATTTAGTCCGTTTTTTTTTTTTGTTTAATGTTTGTATGAGAGTGTACTGCGTGTGTTTGAATTTATTTAACTTTTCAATTGTTTTGGGTAAATATTATTGAAATAGATAAGAGGTTGTTTTTTTTTTTCTTTTTCTTGACTCGTCTGTGAATACAGCTTCCCAAGTAAGTCTATTTTAAAAGGATGTATTCCCATCTAGAACGCTGTCTTATCTACCTTGACATTGCATCCTTTCTGCAGTCTATGTGTGGAAGCATAGTTTACTGAAAGGATCCTCTGTCCTCCTCCGAGGTCAGAGAGGCCTCTGACCTACAACGTTATGGTGAAATAGTTTCGAAAAAACACTTGAGCATTTGACTCCTTATGCTAGTCCTGGTCTTGTAGGCTGTAGTAATGTTTTGCTTGAATACTGTCCAATTAGATTACCATTGATTCAATTACTAGACACAGTGCCTGACTATGGAGATTTGTAAGGAGTGCCGTGTGTTGTCGGGCTTAATGGCTATTCGTAAACAGACAACGTGTTCGTCAGTACGCAGTGGAAAGTTTTATGAGGAAACCGTTTGTGTATCAGTGCTGGTGTGCTTGTGCTACATTTTATCAATGTATTGCCTGCTGTAAAATTCGCAAAACGGCGACACACAGTTTTGCATATTTTACACATACAGATATAATTACAACAGTCTTTCTGCAGAACACATAAAACATTGAACGCGCCACACCCTATCGTTTCACCTTCCGCTTAACACAAGGATTGATGTCACTGTTCATCAACTAGTTAATATTTTTACATACAACATTTACTTTGTCAACTCTAATTAGAATGTTGACTCTCCGATCCGTGCTGAGCTAATCTTCAACCTGTTTTCCTGCAGGGGAATGTGTTGTGTCTTTCTTAATGATTTCATCCTGTTCCGTGACTCACATCTGATCGACCCCAATTAACATCATATTCTCACTGTGTACTTGTGCGTGTGTCTGTTTTAAGTGACATCATTCTACAATTATTGGTCTCATTTGTGTAAATGAACTGCAGGACATTCCTAAGGGAGCTTGAGAACTGCATGGAAAAACCTGAGATGGTGGGAACCTGCTTCCTGAAGAGGGTAAATCTTCAATATTTTACAAAAAAAACATCAATTCCACTGTCAGACTTATGCACGTTTTTTTACAAAGTCTACATATTAAACCGCTCCGTTAAAACGATGGTTACACGGTGATGCAATTGTTTTTGAAAAGCAAGTCTTCTTTGGTGCGTGTCTCCGTCAGAAAGAGGAACTGCAGGTGTATCAGAAGTACTGTCAGAATAAGCCTCGCTCTGAAGTTCTCTGGAGACAGTGCGGAGACAGCCTCTTTTTTCAGGTGAACGCAGACTCGCACAGACACGTAGGAAAAAGGAGAAACTTCAGCTTTCATTATTTTACATCCAAGTTTGGTACCACAGTCCCACTAAGTGGAGCTTATGTCTATGAAATTGGTATCAAAAAATGATATATTATAGGAGAGCCACGGTTCACACTTCACAGTTGATAACAGTTTGGTAGGGTAAACGGCAGACCATCAACATGATATACACCTCTAGACCAGGGAATCCCAAGATGTGCGCATTAGCATGTTTTGATGTGGAGCTGTTAGCATACCGCACCAGTGACCTTCATTACTCTTCTCACCCTAGAAAGATGCGCGCACACACAGCCCGGTTCATAATTGAAATGACTGTGTTAGCCCAGTTATTGGGATGATGACTGAAGCTGTCTTCTAATACAATTATTAAATGTTCACATATTATAGAGTTCATAGTAAATGAATTCAATTAAATCTCAGTTTGAGATAAATCCCCAAATTTCTGTTTGAAGAACAGGATCCGAGTCTTTCTTTCTTCACCGCCACCTCCTCCCCGTTGTCCTTCACACTTTGTACATACCCAGCGTTTTCGCAATAGGTTTGCATCTTGTCCTAGAATCGAGAGTATGAGGAAAAGTTAACACGTAAGACATGCAGTACAGGAGCACACACACACACACACATAAATGCATATTATCAGTTACCGGGTCACCTAGACCCAAAGTACAACACAAGGGTAAAATATCCGACTTTTAATCAACCTCATTGGTGTACCGCCGTCTGCCTTTTCTGTTTTTTGCTTTACGTTGCTATTCACACTTCTCCTTGGTGACTCTAGTTTTTAATTTTGACTTCCCTTTTTGACTTCTCTTCCTGCATGCTTGCAAAATAGTTCCTGTCAATACTAGTTAAACATCACTTTGCTATTTATAGTATATATACATATATATATATCTATAGATATATATATATATACACATTTAGAAAGTGAAAAAAGAACATTACACCATAGCTGTTGCCCTTGTACTGAATTACATGTATATGTTTGATGTAACAGGAATGTCAGAAGAAGCTGGACCACAAACTGTCTCTGGATGCCTACCTTCTAAAACCTGTGCAGAGGATCACCAAGTACCAACTAATGCTTAAGGTTAGGCATAAACACATATACATATATATGCGCTCAGTACACATGTACACAAACTAACATTGAAATGAAGTTCTGTAAGTACTGTATATACTATAGATATTAATAATATCATGAAGAACAATAGATTTTTTCCCTCTAATCCAGGGGTGTCAAACTCATTTCCACCAGGGGGCCACAGCAGCAATACAGTTCCCCTTGAAGGGCCGGTTATAAATTATTAAATTATAAATTGAAGCCTGTATAGATCAGGTGTCCCAAACCCCCAGACTGCGAACCAGAGCCAGTCTCATTTTGTACCGGCCACAGTGGGACGCAGTGAAAAACTGTACTTAATTTACTTTATTCAAAGAAAATCCAGTCATATCCATTCACTTTCTTTATTTAAAGATAGTCTGACAATATTTTTTTATATAAAATGTCATTCAGACTCAGACTGATACAGACAGAATAAAGTATAAAAGATGTTTTATTTTTAAAAATGTATTATCGTTCAATGCTCAGCACCTTACTACCGGTCTGTAGTAACGGGTGGTACTGGCTGATGTGTAATAAAAAAACTTTTGATTTCTTAAGTTAAGAAACTCTGCTGTATTGTCCTTTATAAGCTCCCTAAAATCGGCTTGGCGGGCCACATTTGACCCCCAGGCCTTGAGTTTGACACGTGCTCTAAATGAAGCAAGTCACTCTAACACTGGCCTTATCTTTTATATCTTATTTACATATTATCTTATTTGTACACTAGACATATAAACTCAACTAGTAACCGTAGAGGTTCTAAATAAGGAACAACATATATACACTACCGGTCAAAAGTTTTAGAACACCCCAATATTTCCAGCTATTTATTGCAATTCAAGTCACTCAAGTCCAATCAGTAGCTTGAAATGATACAACGATAAGTGGTGAACTACCAGAGGTTACCCGAAACTGAAAAACAGAGTACATTTCAGAACAATAACACAAAATGGGTTAACAATTGATGACCAAGGTGACCAAGCCTTAAAAAGCTGGTGCTACTAATTCCTACAGGTGTTCCAAGTTTGCTGGATTACTAACAAGCCCCTCTGTCAGCATAAAAGCAGTGTTTGAACACAATGTGGTACCATACCCTCGTGAGCATCAGTTGAACAGTATTGTACTGCAGAAAGTAGTGTGTTGCTACAGAAATGGCAAGAAAAAGGCAATTAACAGTGGAAGAGAGACAGACCATCGTAACACTGAACAATGTCGGTCTTTCCTACAGAGAAATTGCAAAGAAAGTCAAGGTGTCAGTGAGTACAGTTTCCTTCACCATCAAAAGGAAGTGAGAAACTGGGTTAAACTTTGACAGGAAGAGGTCTGGAAGACCCAAAGCCACAACTGAATCAGAGTCAACAGTTTGCATGACAACAGCTTCAAGCACAGCTTAATAGTGGTCGTAGTAAGCAAGTCTCTGTTTCAACTGTGAAGAGAAGACTTCGAGCTGCGGGTTTGACTGGACGAGTTGCAGCAAGAAA